TTTTATTGGCAAATCAAAAGGGTCAGTTACTTCTGGGACACCCTGTAGATTGCTTGCTCAGTTAACTTAGGCACTCTAATCACTACAGCTCGTCTCTTATCATTAGGAATGTCGTATTTTGTAGAAAATGGAGACCTCAACTATCACTCTCCACGTGTGCACAGAACCCTGACTTCCAACCAAGCATCTCTACTTAAACTAATGGGGGCAGGGCTGAATGTGCTTGCCCGTGCAATGGCTAATATTCGTTGTCGTGGCACTAACTACACTTGCGACATTCTTGGTGTAACATTCCGTCCCTGCGAACTAAGCATTAGCATCTGGGCTAAACGGCATTTCCAATACATCCTCCTCAGCTTCGCTAGTCGCCTCCAGGACCAATTTATAACCCGCAGTTCCTGTTGAAGATTATTCAGTGCGGCACTGAAGTTCCGGACGGAACAAGCGACCGTTTATTTGTATTCATAATCGTACTTGAACTGGTTATATGTTATCGGCTTCCGCGTCGGGCTAAGACTTTTTGTCTGTGCCGCATTCCCTAGCTCTGTTGGACCAGTTCTGCGTTTCGCTGTTCCTTTTTAAGATTCAATCATTATAAGTGGATTGACCTTGATGATTGGAGCTGCAATTAGTCAATGAAAAAGAATATGCCTACCGAGGGCCCAGAAACCAAAAACGTAATTTTAAAATCAGACTATGGGCAAAGATTATAGAGCATGTAAACATTCATCAATGGCACTAAGAACAGGACAGTACCTTAAAGGTAAGATGAGTTACGTCGCTCATGTGAGCGGTCAAGACACTGAGTTGTTTCACTGTGAGATCCTTGCTGACGCTCCAAATTACGACGCGGTGGTCATTTCCACCAGAGGCAACGATAGTGACAGTTTCCGATTCTTCCGGTAGTTTACGTTCAACCATCGCAATTGCCGTGATCCAATCCATATGAGCAAGTGGTTCACGATGCACTGGTGAAACCTTTGTCACAGCCGCATTGATTTGGTAAAAGGCGAGAAGCTAGAGGGAACGCAAAAAAAAACAAGAAGATACAAATGCCGGAGACGGACGATGGCGAACATTTTCTTTTCAGAAATCAGGTTTATAGTAAATAACCTAATAAGGGGGTGTAGCGTGGCGGTCCACTAGTAGCCTAATAAGTCATTAAAACTAGAATGTCAGGAAAGGAACCGGACAGGAGAAAATGTTCCCTACGTCCCTGCCTGGGTAAGAAATAAACTGTGCATGCAAGGGCGCGTCAAATACTTATACCTGTATGCATGAACGGCAGTGTTGTTGAGTCCAAAATCTCATGATGCCCTGTGCTTGTCGGTTAAATCCTCTGTGATCGTAATCTTATGACGTTCCATTTCTAAAAACGTGAGATTACACGGAACCAACTCTTTCCTCTTCGTAGGGGAATTCATACTGAATGCGACGATTTCAGCCAGCAATCACGTCGACAACGCCAGGGTTTCAGGGAGCAACTTCTCAGATGACCTCCCATTCGGATTACGAAAGTTGTGGCAAAGCAAACGGAGCTGCTGACGTTTGATAGCATCACGGGTAGCCAGTTTCCCCATCCGACGGCAAGGTTCTTCCTTGAGGTCACAGCTGATAAGGCAAAGCTTCGCTACTTACGGAAGCACCGGAACCTCGCCGGCAATTTCGATTTCCATAAGGTAAGCAATGCACTGAGGCAGTATTTGGCAACTAGAACAATTTAGATCGAACGAAATGCCATCCGCAGCTGGCCTTCTCATATGCATTTTCTGAGTCAGCAAGATCATTTCGCGAGTGGGTTGTACAAAAAGCTCATTTCTACCGTACAGGAAACGAGGAAGAAAAAATACTCAATTGCGTCCAGCTCCTCGCCATCAGAGGAGGCGGCAATGGCTAAAGCGCAAAACCATTGAGCGGCATTTGGACGTTCCCAACATTCCGTTTCTGCTATTGTCTCTGATGATGGATCCGAGAGGGATTCCGAAAAGTCAGGCGAATGAAATTTTTGTCCCAGCCATCACAATTACTTTTTCTCAATTACTTCA